GTAGGGAAACCTGTCCTGACAGGCAGATGTACATGCCAAAAACATTCTCCCTTCTGTGCTTATTATAGAGGGATGCTTTAGTATAACCTATCTAATTTTGTAAGCCAAATGGCTACAGTTCTCTAAATAAAACTGTGTTTTAGAGGTTCAGGTGGTGCTTCAGAAAGCACCGTTGTAGAAAATTAAAGGATTATTTCTGCACAAACTAATAAGGACCTGCAAGGTCAAAAATGTCTTGTTTCACATTGGTGCTGTGTGATTGGATTGAATCTCATTAGCTTTAATCATTATTTTTTTAATAGTTTCCCATGATAATCAGGATCATGTTTTGGTTTTTTATATTGTTCCCTATGCATAAGAAAACCACCGTGTAGAAGCATAAATGTTGAACGGTTAACTGCTGAACTAACTGAAAATAATTTTGGGGGGTTTTTTTTTGTTATTTTTTTTTTTTTGCTAATCTTAGGGGTTTTAGAAATTGTTGCATGCTTTTAAATTTTTTTCCTTTTTTTTTTTTTTTTTAAAACTATTTCAGTCTTGAGTAATGTACTGTTGTACTTGAGTAATGTGGTTTTACTTCCCAGAAACTGCTCCAGGAAGAAATAGTTCCCATTTACTCTCATTTGCATAGACGTCTTTACACAGCAGAGCAGTGCATTTCCCTGTTGAGGCAACCAGTTGAGATTGATCTTAATCCAGGTTAAATTGAAAATTATGCACAACTGGTTTCCTGATTGGAGTGACTGTTGTCATACTGGTACTTGCCTTGGAGGAATGTGGGAGTGGATGAATGTATATGGGTGGTGGGTGTAGCTTGGCTTGCCTTTGTGGTGCCTTACTTGAGTTTGTGCTGTGCAAAGCTTCAGGGTTTGGTGTGGCAGCACAATTAGGAATGCAGGAACCATTGTCCTGAGGGATGATGGTTGGGAGAAGAAGTTACAAGGAAAAGACAAGCGTCCAGAGAGATTTCTAAGTGGTGTCCCAGCCTCCAGCATTTTGTGGCTTAGTGAGTTTGTGCCCCAGTGGTGTTTTGTATTTGGTGCTCTTTGATTTTGTACTCCATGAAGTTTCTATACAAACTTGAGGTATGTACCAATACCTTACTAAGCTGATCTTGTGTCCACTGCTACTGAAAAGAAAATCTTGCATGTACCATCCTATTTATCTCCTGCATCTGTTACCCTGCTTGTCTGCCCTGTTTTGGCCTGTTTCAGACACCCCTTCTCTCATTCCTGCCTTATCTGATCCAATGAAGAAAGGAGAGATGAATAGGGAGGCAAAGAGGGTGAAGGTGAAGACATTTTAGGGCCAAAGGAATTGGGACTGATTGTGCTTGGCTGCAGCAGGCAGACAGAATGGCTTTGTTGTGACATCCAGCTGTACCCTGCAGCCTTGGCAGATGCCACGAGTGCTTTTAACAGCATCACAAGCATGTGTCCAAACTCAGTATTTTACAGCTTGAACTTCTGTTAAATGAAGCTGTTAAATGCTGTTATTTTGGACTTGGTTATCCCAGCTAAACCCAGCAGACAGCTAAACACTTCACAGCCACTTCCTCAGTCCCCTGCACTGTCCCCAGTGCGATGAGATAGAGAATTGGGGAAAAACAAAAAAATAGACAATGCTAACATTTATGCTACTTTTAAATATTTTTCTATAATACGATACTTCTGGAGTACCCATTGAAAATGCTAAGAGGCAATGGGCTGAAAGTGCTGAGAGCTAGGGATCTATTCATTTATAGTGGAGAAGGAGAAAACCACATGAAGCAGCAATCCTGTGCTTGCTGTACTCTTGCAGGGTATTGTAGCCACTGAGATTGTCTTGCTAGCTGAAGCTGGATTCTATGCAGGAGAAGCTACTGGTGCATAATTGTTTGCAGAACCAAACCTTAGAAGATATTTTGGTTATTGTTAGAAATTAGAAGGAAGCAAACTTCAGAAAAACTAGAAGTCAACAGGGATTTTGGGAAAACCTGTTGTTCAGCCCAAATTGTTAATCACTTACATTTGTATTCCACTTATGGCTTGGTTATTTTTGTGAAGGGATCTTCCTGTTTATTTTCAGTCCTTGACACCTGTCAGCCACACATACCCCACCTCCTTGTGCAACCAGTCCTCAGTGATGTGTGCAAGAGGGAAAGAATGCAGGGGTACTTGATGACAGGTCAGCATCATGTTACTGTGGGCAGCATGGATGTTCAGAGGGATGGTGTTTCCTAATAAAAGGCAGGTCTGTTATTATGATACTGAGCCAGGATGACTGTGATGGTTGTGTTGTGGATGCTCTGCTTTTCCACCTCATGCTGTTGCAAAGGCTGGGGGAGATGCTGACTCTGGTGTCTGTGTGTTGCTCTGTTGTGTAAATAGAGATGTGGTCTTGGTGACAGGTCCCTGAACTCTGCTGTGCTCTTCCCTTTTCCTTTTTGTGACATTCTAGTCCTAGGACTTACCACCTTCTTAGTGGTGGACAGCCTAGCTACTGTATCAGCATTTAAACACATCGGTAGCATTTCGTTTCTTCAAGGTGTGGGCTAAGCATCCCTTTAAAAACAGACCCACTGGACACCAAGAACTTGCAATCAGGACATAGGCATGTTCTGAGCAGGGAGGTGTTACTCAGCATTTAGACCAAAAGCACATCAGTACACTCCCTGCCAGGATTCACTGTACCCTTCTGCATCACTGGTTGATCTGACCAAGCAGTGATAAAATAGCTCTTCAAAGTAATTTTAGTAACCCTTTTTTCTGAGATGAAGTTCATTTATATTAGCAAAATTTGTGTGTGCTTTAAAACTAAACCTGCTGCTTTATCTATTCATCTTCTGCTGTCTTTGAGTTTTAAGTCATTAATGCAGGTGGTCTTTCTACCTTGGCAAAACATGAACAAAACATTATTCTGAGTGGTTCATTGTATTGGCATCAAAATACGTGCATTTCCAAAAGAGGCCACAGTTTATATTACCACAGAATCATAGAATAGTTAGGGTGGAAAAGGACCATAAGATCATCTAGTTCCAATCCCCCTGCTATGAACAGAGACACCGCACACAAAACTATGTCGCCCAAGGCTCTGTCCAGCCTGGCCTTGAACACCTCCAGGGTTGGAGCATTCACAACTTCCTTGGGCAACCCATTCCAGTGCCTCACCACCCTCACTGTAAAGAACTTCTTCCTTATATCTAATCTAAGCTTCCCCTGTTTAAGTTTAAACCCATTACCCCTTGTCCTACCACTACAGTCCCTAATGAAGAGTCCCTCCCCAACATCCTTGTAGGTCCCCTTCAGATACTGGAAGGCTGCTATGAGGTCTCCACGCAGCCTTCTCTTCTCCAGGCTGAACAGCCCCAAAATATTCCTTGGCAGAGTAAACAAGGCAAAAAAACCATTATGAAAAACTAGTTGTTAATTACTTGGGTTTTAGTTTCTCATAAAAAATTGCCAAGCATGTGTAATAACTTTTAACCCTGTTTGTTCTATGTCCCAGGAAACCCAGATTTTATTTAAAAGTTGTTTATGTTGAAGCTTGCTGTTGGAAAAACTGAGCATGGCTTTAAATATAGGTGTGAGCGATTTTTGTAGGTTTTGATATGGGACCGATAGGTATGTGAACACAGTAGTTTTGTACATTTTAGTGTATTAATAGATTTAAACTAGATTGTAGGGGGGAAAAGGGATAAAACCAGGTAGAAATAAGCGTTGGGGGCGGCATGCAAATGTTTGAGGGACAGTGTGCTAGCGAGGTCCTTCAGTCTGCCATCTCAATCAAGGTAGAGGTTGGAAATCCATGCAGCAGCAAACGTGCCAGGATTATTGATATATTAGAAACAATGGAAGTGCCTGAGAATGGTCATGTAGGAATTAGGGCTTCTCCCTCCATAAAGGTGGTGGGATCAATAGCCCAACTGAAGTGCATCTATACCAGTGCA